CAAGGGCCATGGTAGCACATTTATCTCGGTTAAGAAAGGCCATGGTAGCATTATAATTTCCCTTAAAGATCTATGGTAGCATTATTATCTCCGTTAAAGGCCCATGGTAGCATTATGATATCCGTTTAAGGTCTATGGTAGCATTATAATCTCCGTTAACTGTCAATGGTAGCGATCTTATCTCCGTTAAAGGCCCCTAGTAGCATTATAATCTCCGTTAAAGGCCCATGTTAGCATTTTTATCTCTGTTAAAGGCACATGAGGCCATAGAAAAGGAAATATCTTCATGTTTGAAAAGCTTTATTTTTCTAATGCGCAGTTACAGATTCCAAAACAAACGTTAATACAGGCAAAAGCAAATACTACAACAACAGCTTATTTTGTGAGACTTATTGTAATTTAAATAAGTTGGAGGTGACAGTAATTTATGTGATGGAACATTGAAATGAGATATTTGCAGAGTGTTTTTAGAGGTGCATCATAAAGTTATCATCAGAATATGACGGACAGAAATAATTTACGATTGTTTCGAAACAAATATCGTTTTCTTGTCTTAATTAAATTTCAACGTTGTGACCTCGTTAAAATTCGCGAACATACCTTAAGGACGGTGAATATACGCACGTTGTACATAACCGATATCTCGCTAAACCGATTTCGTTATAAACGGTATAAAATGAAGGAAAATAGAAGGGAAACGGTCGGGACACAGCAGAATGTACGTTATAAGCAAACCGATCTCGTTATAAGTGGAGTGGACTATAAAATTACAAGACCAATGATTAGAGATGAAATCTTTGTTAGACTTGCAGCTCTTGCAAACTGATGCAATCATTACATAACTAAACACTAAAACAATGTGCAAATGATAAACAAGTCAATAAACTTCCTTTTGTAATCATTATGTGTTTCAGTTTGACACCAGAAATAACTGCTTATCAGTACGAATAATGATATTGACTTAATTTTAAATTCTTCAAATGAAAACTTTATAGAGGACATTACTTCAAAATACTTCTAAAGTGAACAGTAACTTTTAGTCTCGTATTTTATTCAAATTGTTTTCACACTAAAACGCAAGTTTACAGTTTAAGAAAACGGGAAATATTGACGTCAATTTAACATCATCATCATCATGATTAAGAACGCCCAGAAAAGACCCCGTTAATTAGTTTAAATTAAAGGTGTTGTTGTTTTACTAACTATTTGTATTGCACACAAGTTTTAAATAGTTTATTGATTTAAAATGAAAAAAAAACTTCAAGTCGTTAGAAATTTGATTCAGAGCACTTTTCGCAATGCTCTGTCCATATGATATTGTCAACCCGATAATCGTAATAAACTTCAATTATTGTACTTACATTGGGCGTATGTAATTTCCCCATTTAAATGTAGCCTACAAACAAGATATCCGTACTTTAATAATCTCTCTTTTCCCGAAATATATTTTTAAACACTTTAACGTTTGCTGTTCAATCCAAATTTGCCAAGACAATTCTAAAATAAGCAAAGCCAATCGAAGGGCCTGCCACTGACAGTTTCACAGCCTAGAAACAAAATGTCTGGATTGAAGTATTACTTCACAAGGATCATGTGAAGACACCATCAAGTAACAGACCAGAGAAAAAAGCACTAAAATTAATGAATTGTCAAATTAAAAGTTCCAATCTTTTAGACTATTACTTCTTCTGAGCCAATTCTCTGTTATTGATTGTTTGGCATAAGTCGACTGCAAGGACAAATGAAACACACTTAAACGGAATAAATTCATCACCTGGGGCAAAATATCCAGGAAAGCTATGGAATGACTTTTTGGAAAAAAGTGCTAAGCGTCAATTGGTAGTTTTTTTGTGTAAATTCGCTTATGATAATTTAATTGTGGATCTCAATGAAGATTTCCTTTTTTTATAACAAGTTCTTAATAGATTAAAACAAAACAGAACAGACTTTTGTTTTGACTTGTAAATAGTGCATCATATCTATGATACATTCAATACATTGATCAATTTACATACATAGTGTTTTTTTCATTACCAATATTTAAATTATTAATATATTTAATTAATAACATACTTTAGATACACTGCTGCGTAACAGCCCATGTATTATTTACAAATGTTATTTCAAACCAACAAAACAGATATCACAGTGTTAAGGATAAACGTGTTTGTACGCTGTTATAAATATATATTATATTATACACAATTGTATCGTAAGAAATATACACGTTATATGTATTTTTAAGAGGAAAGCATTAACCAGCGTTTTTCCATTTCTGTCTAATTTAAGCCATGTCGAGGTTCGATTGCAATATGTTCATTTAGCTATTCTTAGTACATTTCAATTAAAGCGATTCCTTCAGTTAAAGTTAAGCATACTCGCAATGTTGAATGACATTTTCCAGTTAAGTATTAATTAAGCGGAGTCAATGGTATCTTATTGCTTTACTTTCATTTAGCTAGCCTAAGAACAGTTCAGTTATAGCGATTCCGTTAGCGCAGATTAGAATATTTAAAGTGTTGAATAACCAACACGTCAGTTTGAATGTTTGATGAAAAGATTAGAAATTCTATGTTAAACAATTAAACGATTATTCAACAATTAAACGACAATTCGCGTTATTATTTAATGTTAAATCCATGTTTATACATGGCGGCAATTATCCTATTTTAGCGCAAATTACGCATTCAACAAACACATGAAATCACATCGTCAACTTCGTACAATAACTGCATGACTGCAGTTAAATTTACAAGCACTTATTACATTATGGCACTAATTCTTCAAATGAGGAGCAATAAAATAATTATTATGGACTTATTCATCTTTTAATCCAGACAAAACTATTCCTAATTTTAGGAAACAATTCAAAATAAGTTCAGACTAATTGGCGGACAGTGCAAACCATGATCTTGGTCTGTACTAGTTGCATGTTCAAAATAAATCCCCTTTTATAGTCAAATAATTTTTTGTAGTATGATATATTATAAAACAAATATCAGTGCGATTCTTTAGTGTACTTTCAAATATGTAATAAAATGAAAAGATGAAACATGAGAAAAATTAAATATTAATATTATAATTAACACACTTTTATCATGTTTATCAATTGATCAATTATATATTTTATAGTGTAAATAATTGTACGATCAATTCCGGCATGAGTGTATTTATAGCAAAAGCTATGCCATGTTGTTTCATGAATAATTGTTATTTTATGTCATGTTATTTTATATTTTGTTATTTTGTGTTTTGTTTTTATGCAATATTATTGTTTTGCCATGCTTATGTAATTTAGTCATGTTAAATCTTGTTATTTTATTACTGGATAGTGTATGCGCGAAAAAGTAAAAGTAAAAAGTATATTGTCGGTCTGACATATTTTTGTCAGGAAAATGATTGCTTCTCATAAATACATTTCATTTGCAATTCTACTGCTTGTACCTGTAGACTAGCCAAGAATATGATATTGGGGTTGCATCAATTTTTTATAGATTTATCACCGGGATTACTTCTATAAACCACCTGTACCTTTCCATCTAAACAGAATTTGACTGCGTCCAGTTCAACAGTTTCAATTTACAAAATGTACAGAAACCGTTATAGATAATTTATATTGTTCTTTTTCAATCACGTTTTCCATAACTAGGATTATAATCGAAACTTAATGTGTCTTCATAGAAAAACGCGCATTTTGTGTTTAGGTACAATATATGATTCTATACTTTCATTTCTTTGATAATTTATCAAAATAAAATATAAAATTTAAAACGAAAACAAAAACCAAAGAAAAACTCAAATCAACATTGTCGACAACCACAATATACATACTTCAACCCTTCTTTAAAACACCCCTTCCATTAATGAAAATATGAATAAAAAAACAACACCAAAAAAAAACCCCCAAAAAAACAAACAAACAAACACGACCAGAATAAAAAACGTTTTATAATTTACATGCAATAATTGTGGCTAAACGAAATATTTAATGACTATATCTAACCAATGTCTCAACTCGTTTTTATTTCTCATTTTTTCATTAGTTTAACACTGTTCAATACAGCGGATGTAGTACATTGTATGCAATAGCACGAATCCTGAATAAAGAAATGACCGCAATCACTGATATCTAATATGATTAATTAGCAATCATCATTGATGGACAGGACCAAATGGACGCGCTTATGCGCATTTTATACATTGAATATCACCGTTGTTTCCTCGTGCGAAGTATTACTCAATAATTTATCGCAAGACTAAAATATTCGAGGATTACCCAGGTACCAAATACTTAATTGCTGGTTATACAGCAATATTGGGTCTAAGGTCATAAAGAATTTTTGTAAGTTAAAACTCACATATCAGGATATTTAATTGGTCATTTACTACAATGTATATTGACCAATAAATATCCTGAGATTCGAGACAGAACTAAAAAATTATAACATCGAAATTTGGCGTAAGATACATGCACAAAGTCATTGCTACTTTTGACAAATATGTTGTTTTCATTTAACATTCAGTTACATTAAATATCACTTTTTAATCAACACTCGTTGGTGATATGTACATAGATAAATATTTCGTACACCATAGTTTTTAAACCGTTAAATAAGTACAAATATATTTTAACTATAACATGTAAAGTTTTATTTATCAGATCAGATGATAAGTAGAGTGTATATTGTTAACCTACATATAAGACAAATGCTGTTATAATATAAATGATGACACCTTCTTAACTGCCATACTGCACGAAAGAACATGCTGATACGGCTTTATACTGGTGCCAATCCAAGGCTAGTCATTTTTGGTTCCGACAGGGTGTCGAATGTTTCTAAGTGGTGTCAAAGGTTAATATCATTCAGATCAAACAGATTAAGTGTTAAATGTTGGTTTAAACAAGTATTCAAATACACAGCAAAACATTTAAAAATCTAACTGATAACACTGTCAAGAAATAAATCAAAAAATATTATTTATTAACTTTCCATGCTTACCTGCTTAATAGTTGCTGTTTTTAATTCCTTAATTTAACCACTTCTGATTTCTTTATTATCCGATGTGGTAATTTAAAATGTGTTTTATGTTATATTTTCCAAGATCAAAGAGGTAACAGTAATCTAAAACGATATTATAATCAATCAAAACATACTCCAAATTTACTATCTATCTAACGTCTTCTAATTACAATATTTTTTTCGTTCTAATAAAATATTATATAGCAATATCCGCTTTCATTTATTATTGTAAAACACATTAAAAATCACGTACATCCAATATTGTTACAATATTAAAATGCGTTGGTACAAAGTGTTCCGCGCAGTCAGGTTGAATCGCATCTGAGGTCGGTTAATCCGCATCAAATTAATTAGATATGACTCGGCTTTATCAGTCGTTACACCTTTGGTTAGCTGTTTATGAATAACTTGCAATTCTTTCTGTATTAGACGACTATCAAGTGTGTCATTTAGGACCACCATTTGTCTCTTGTTGTTAAAGTTATATTGTTTATTGGTGACATTTTGAGATACAATCACACGTAAGATGCTACGCTACCTGATTTTTTGTTAAGTTCCCGGAGCCATTGATCCACGGTGGAATTCGCATGACATGTGCGGTATGCATATGTGCATTCTAGACCGTAAAAAATGCATGGGCGATGCCATATGACTGTCTATGTAGGCTACACTGTAAACAAATGCAAATTGCGCATCTTTTTGTTCTGTAATTGTCTAGCAAAATAATATGGTAAAATGAACTATATTATAGTGTTGTTCTTTACACTTGTAAATATGATCAACAAGTTAATTGATCTTTTCAGCATATTAATATTCTCGTCGCCTATCAAATGATGGAGGCTGTTACAATATAAGCATTGAAGAAAACATGGAGAATAATAACACCTAGTTTTACACATGAATTCGTACAAAGATACCTTTGTTATGTTAAATAAATGGTTAAGCGCTGACAAATTTGTCGGTGAACAATTTCCTAAATTTTCAACCAATCTATATTGAATTAAGACTTATGCGAAAGACAATTCAAAAGGGACATTTTAAGCAAAAAAAAAGAATAAATAGAGGATATTCAAGTTTTTTCTATAAATACATGATTTATTTTCATCGAGTGGTATGAAAATAAATATTTCATGAGTGGCGGTAGCCACGAGTGAAATATGGTAATTTTCATGCCACAAGATGAAAATAAATCATGTATTTATAGAAAAAACTTGAATTTTCTGTTTATTATATTCAGGACATTAAAATTTGCAAGACTTTCCCTTAAATTTTGAGTACTGGCAGAATTTAAAAGAAAGTAGTGCGGCAAGACACCAGTGAAAATACGGAAAATATGTTTCACTGCAGTGAAAAATAAATTTTTACAGTGAAAATACGGAAAATGAAAATACGCAATTTATTTCGTCAATATTTCTCAATATTTCATTTAAAAGTATATTATAAATGTCAATAGTACTGTAGTAATATAATTTCTCAGGAATTACGTCACAACTTAATATCGATATAAACACATCATATTGTGGGAGTGTAATCATGAGTATGAAAGATCATCCAATATAATAAGTATAAAAACGCTAAAATATGACGTTCTCTTGAGGAAACAGATAAGCGCTTCAAGCGGAAATTACAAGAGGTGTGATTCCAACCTAGCCTTAAATAATCGGTAATGGTGCATATTATAAAATTAATGTATTTCACGTAGAATATTTATCTAATTTTAGTGCATTTGTCATAGATAAATGTGCTATTATTAAAACAGAAAATGTCAAATGTCAATTACATATCTACATTTTAAAGGACTCCACTTATACAGGAATGGAAATATTTTTTTCCAGATATATCTCATTTGAAGAAGATTTATGTACGTATTATTTACTTGTGTGCAAAATATCTGATAAGTTGATCATTTTGTTTTTCCAAACTAATAAATTTTAGTGTGCAAAATAAACTGAAAATGAAACTATTTGAACTCAATTCGCATAAAATATCGATTTTCAAATACATTCTGAGTATATATCTTTCTTACCTTTTAAAGTGCTCCAGTTTATCTGTGTAAAATTATTTTTGGCTTTTGGACCTTAGTGGAACACTTTGAATTATTATTAATGTATTATTACCATCCGAGATATTTGTACGGAATGTAAATTAGCATATGAGATTATGAGAGGCACATATATTTTAATGAAACATTTAAATAAAATATCAATTTTAAAACAACAAAAAACCACATTATTAATCACAATAAACCATTATTGAGCAACGTCACCCAAATGCAAAAATTGAATATAAATTTGAAAATTAATGTACATTCATAATTATATATTTGTGAGTGACATATTTTTCCTTTTTGAATCTTTATTTAAATTTGGTACCAGTGTAATCATTTAATTGTTTTTATTTATTTTTAAACATTGAAAAATATATATGCCCAACAAAAACATTTCATAAAGAGAAAAAATTTGTTAAATAAAATATGTATCAACTAAAGTTCAACAACGTCATTATCTAAGAAAACAAGATGTCAAAACATTTCGTGAAACTCCGTTTCTAAACGTTTTTAATACACTAATTGTACTCAATGTATAGAAATCTAAGTTTTAATCCAATATATCTAATTAAATTTACAAAACTCTCGGAAGAAATAAGCTCTTTTCTTCATTTTACACGTCGTGCAAAAGTAGATCAAATTGCTGTAAGTAGGAAACAGGAGATGACGTAGAAAGAGGCCAATGCTACTTTCCAGTGATGCCTAGAATTGCCTTTTAAATCAGAGTTTCGTTCATGTTGATAACTAGATTTAGCATTTAACGGCCCGTCATGTCTCCAACTGATATTAATTTGAGTCATCAATGTATTTTTTTTAGTTTTAATGTCCCGTCAGAATTTCCGAAGAGGAACTTACTGGCCATTGCGTTGAACCATCTACATGTATTACTTTATGCTGTTTGAAAAGGTATTTCGTACGTCGTATGTAAGTCAAAATACACATTTGTTTACAATTTTCTACACTGTTTTATGAAATTGACATTTAGCTCTACATAACTTAAAGGCATCTAATATGTCATGTCCATCATTATCAAACACATGCTTGCAATTTCTCTAAAAATTAGAAAATATTCATTTCTGAGGCATAATATGCCTTTGCATTAAGAATTTGTCCTTTTTTGTTAAAAATATGTTGGTTAAATAATAGATGATATTGTGTTATATTTTGTACTGGACGATGACACCATGTAAACAATATGTTAATGACATTTAAAAGATAAAAATAACGGCCTTTCATTTGTTGTTCATTTATAATGGTTGTAACACAACCGGTCACATTAGCTAGTGCTGATAATTTGAGTAATCCTTATATTTTGAATAACTCGAACGCGAACGACATAACATATAATATAATATTTTCAAACATATTCAGAGCATTTGTCGATAGTAGTTTCAATAAAAAGAAGTCGAATTATGTAACTTCTAAAATAGCAAAAGTACATCGTTTGTAATTTTATACATCTGCGCAAGTTTCTACATTCTATATGAAAAGCCATGTCATGGCATGTATACTCTAAGCCCTGCTTTAACCGATGTTGGGGAGGGGTTGGACGTTACCATTAGCTCTCGCGTATCACTAACAAGCTTAAATAGGCTTAATCAAACCGAGCAGAATTAAACAATGATATTAAACATTGCAATGTGTAATAATCTCGCCCATTTATGACGCTTGCGTTTAGGTGTTTTTATAAATTACATAAAAGCGTTATATCCTGTATATTGATGTTTCATTTATAAGTGATTCGTTATGTAATAAAAGTGAAAAGGCAACAACAAAAAACAAACAACGACAAAAACAATAACTTCCCCCAAATAATAAATGAATAATCATAATATTTAATAATAAAAATAATAACAACCCAAACAACAACAACCTTTAAAGTGGCAGCCTGACCGAGTGGTTATCGCGTCGAACTAGTAATCTAATCATCCCCAGTTGCATGGGTTCAAACCCCGTCAGTGGCAAGTCTTTGTTTCCTTGAGCAATGCTCAGTTGGTTCCAGGAACGGATTCGAAAGTGTGTCTATAAGCTTGCAGCTTCCTACACATTCGGACCAAAATAAATTCTGTATAAACCAAGTTCAGAAGAAAAAAACATGTGCCTCGAAAATAGACAAAAATAAATATGCGGTTTCTTCACGTCAGAATTGATAAGAAATTTTGAAAAGGGAATATTGCATGACCAAAAGACCATCTGTTTCGAAAAATCAAATCAAACAACTAATGTTCGGCCCGTAGGGGAGATATCAACATTTTATTACCCGTAACCAATTCAAATAACAACCGCATCTCAATAAAACAGTGTACTGCACAGTGCGGATTTCTACATGCATCCGTTTAATTCAATAACGATCTTAAGTGTTTTTTGAGATATTTGCCCGACGTTATATTTATAATATGGAATCCGAAACATGATGATTTGAAGAATCTGGTTAAAAATATCTCGATATAAAGTAAATCCTTGTTGCAATACTTCATTATAATTGTTATCCATATTTTTAGCATTTTTCTGTACCTAATATTTTGTTAAATGCCCAAATTAGAAATGTTTCAGAAATGCTTTTTTTCAAAAGTTTATTTTTGGATTTTTGTTTACTTTATTGTATCCAAAAAGTTACTCATTGGGCAATTGTGTTGCTTACTGGCAATAAGTACAGTTACAATGCATAAGTATGGAAGTCAAAACACTAGTTTTTTTACTCTTGCTTTCCTACTTTTCAGACAAATTATTTCACATTTATCGCCTCTTTCTTAAGGTTACAAGAAACTAACATTCTCTAAAACCATACTTTAAACACTATACGTAATTTATGTTTGCCCTTTCTTAAAAAGTATAACTAATTCGTTTCTGAGGCTTAATGTGCCTTTTAAAACACAAGTCATATAAACTAATCAAAATACATTTTGTTTTTAGTTTTGTTTCAACTAAACAAATCTTATATTACAATGTATTGTATGCATTTCATTTTGCATCGACACAAATATGTAAAAAGGTGGATGCATTTTTCTAAATCGTTACTTTGATTTTGTCTGTGTGGTTCAATAAGACAACTTTAAGTTTCCCTGACAAAATGTCAGTATGATGAGAATATACACGATGCGTGCTAATGTGTTAATACATACAATAAAATACTGATTGCTTATTAAAAGAAAGCAATAAAGATGCTACATGTAAAAGGACAATGTCAGGTTCTCATGATCTCTTAATAAGATGTATTTGATGAGTAGTACAAGAGACGGACATGTACGGATAAAG